CAACTTAATATAAATTGCTATACACATAAGATGTTATATATGAACCTAACGGTAATCACAAATCTTCAACTTGTAATAAGCATGCACAAAAGAAGAAAGGAATCCAGGCATAACACTAAAGAAAGCCAATCAAACCAAAAGCGAAGAGAAGAAGGGAAGAAGAAAGAAACAGAGAAGAATGACAAACAAAAACAAAAACCATAAAACAAGTAACAAAATGGCAGGAAGTACATACCTCTCAATAATTACTTTAAATGTAAATGGTCTAAATGCTCCAATGAAAAGACACAGGGTCTTTTCACAGATAGAAAATAAGACCCATCTATATGCTATCTACAAGATACTTACTTCAGACCTAAAGATACATGCAGATTGAGGAAACAGAAAGACATTTACCATGGAAATGGAAACTAAAAATCTGGGGTATTAATATTTATCAGACAAAATAGACTTTATTTTTTTAAAGATTTTATTTATTTATTCATAAAAGACTCAGAGAGAGAGAGAGAGAGAGGCACAGGCAGAGGGAGAAGCAGGCTCCTCACAGGGAGCCCCATGTGGGACTCAATCCTGGGTCCCCAGGATCATGCCCAGGCTGAAGGTGGCACTAAACCGCTGAGCCACCCAGGCTGCCCACAAAATAGACTTTAAAACAAAGACTGTAGCAAGAGACAAAGAAGGGCACGGCATAATGATAAAGGGAACAGGATAAAGCAATTGTAAATATATATGTGCTCAATATGGGAATGCCTACTTACATAAAGCAACTATTAATAGACATAAAAGGAGGGATTAACAGTAATACAGTAAGATTAGGGGACTTTTAACGCTTTGCTTACACAATGGATAGATCATCCAGACAGTCAACAAGGAAACAGTGGTTTTGAACAACAGATTAGGCAAGATGGATCTAATGTATACATACATACATATATGTATATATAAATGTGTATAGGGGCACCCAGGTGGCTTGGTCAGTTAAGCATCTGCCTTTAGCTCAGGTCATGGTCCTGAGGTCCTGGGATCGAGCCCCAAGACAGGTTCTCTGCTCAGTAGGAAGTTTGCTTCTCTCTCTCCTTCTCCCTCTATGTGTTCTCTCTCTCAAATAAATAAATAAAAATCTTAAAAAAAATATCCATCTAAAAACAGAAGGAGGAGGAGGAAGGGGAGACAGAGTGGGGGACAAGGGAGAAGGAACACTTCCAAATTCATTCCATGAGGCCAGCATTACTCTGATACCAAAACCAGACAAAGACACTGCAAAAAAGAAAACTACAGGCCAATATATCTGATGAACATAGATGTAAAATCCTCAATACAATATTAGCAAATGGAATTTGACAATACATTAGAAAAATCATTCAACACAATGAATTGGGATTTATTGAGGTATGCAGCTGTGGTTCAGTATTTGCATATCAATCAATATAATACATCATATTAACTAGAGAAAGGATAAGAACCATATGATCCTTTCAATCGATGCCAAAAAAACATTGACAAAATACAACATCCATTATGATTAAAAAACTCAACAAAATTATGTTTTTAGGGAACATATTTCAACATAATAAAGGCTATATATGGAAAATACCTCAGCTAACATCATACTCAATGGTGAAAAACTGACAGCTTTTCCCCTAAGATCAAGAACAGGACAAGAATGCCCACTCATCACTTCTATTCAGCATGGTACTGGAAGTTCTAGCTGCAACAATCAGACAAGAAAAATAAAAAGCATACAAATTGATAAGGAAGAATAAAACTTTCACTATTTACAGATGACATGATACTACATATAGAAAACCCTGAAGACTCCAGCAAAAAACTACTAGAATTGTTAAATGAATTCCGTAAGGTTGCAGGATACAAAATTATGTACAGAAATCTGTTGCATTTCTTTTTTTTTTTTTAAGATTTTATTTATTTATTCATGAGAGACACAGAGAGAGAGAGAAGGCAGAGACACAGGCAGAGGGAGAAGCAGGCCCCATGCAGGGAGCCTGATGTGGGACTCAATCCCAGGTCTCCAGGATCGCACCCTGGGCCAAAGGAGGTGCTAAACTGCTGAGCCACCTGGGCTGCCCATCTGTTGCATTTCTATACACAGATAACAAAGTAGCAGAAAAAGAAATTAAGAAAACAGTCCCATTTACAGTTGCACTAAGAAAAATTAGATACCTAGGAATAAACTTAATTAAGGAGATGAAAGACCTGAACTCTGAAAACTGTAAAACTTTGATGAAAGATATTCATGATGACATTAATACATGGAAAAATATTCATTCTCATAGAAGAATTAGTATTGTTAAAATGTGCATGCAACCTAAAGCTCTATACAGATTCAGTGCAATCCTTATCAAAATGCCAATGGCATTTTTTACAGAAATAAACAGTTTTTAAATTGGTATGGAACCACAAAATATCCCAAACACGAAAAGAATCTTGAGGAAATAAAGCTGGAGGTATCACAATCCCAAATTTCAAGATATATTACAAAGCTATAGTAATCAAAACAGTATGGTACTGGCACAAAAACAGTCACTTGGATAAATCAAAGAGAACAGAGAACCCAAAACTAAGCCCATGCTTATATGGTCAATCAATCTCCAACAAAGGATGCAAGAATTTACAATGGGGAAAAGACAGTCTCTTCAATAAATGGTGTTGGGGAAACTGGATAGTTACATGCAAAAGAATGAAACTAGACCACTTTCATATATCATGCACAAAAATAAACTCACAATGAATTAAAAACCTAAATGTGAGACCTGAAACCATAAAACTTCTAAAAGAAAACATAGGCAGTAATTTCCTTGGCATCAGCTGTAGAAACAGTTAGATATGTCCCCTTAGGCAACAGACACAAAAACAAAACAACAAAAAACTATTGAGACTATACCAAAATAAACTTTTTGCACCATCAACAAAACAAAAAGGCAAGCTACTGAATGAGGAAGATATTTGCAAATGATATATACAATAGGAGTCAATATCCAAAATATATAAAGAACTTGTACAATATATTTTTTAAAAAAGGTGCAATTTTAAAAATCAGAGTACCTGAGTAGACATCTTCCAAAGAAGACACACAGATGGCTAACAGACACATGAAAAGATGCTCAACATCACTGAGCATCAGGGAAATGCAAATCAAAACCATAATGAGGTATTTATTACCTGTGTATACACACACACACACACACACGCACAGTGGAGTATTACCCATAAAAAGAATAAAATTTGCCATTTGCAGCAATACTGCTAAGACCTAGAGAATATAATGCTAAGTTAAATAAGTCAGACAGGGAATGACAAATACCATATGATTTCACTCATATGTGGAATCTAAGAAATAAAATAAGTGAACAAAGGACAGACTCTGAAATTCAGAGAACACGTGGTTGCCAGAGGCAAAGTAGGTAGGGGAATGAACTCAAGTGGATTAAAACTAAAAACTTCCAGTTATAAAATAAGTAAGTCACAGAGATGAAATGTACAGTATAGGGCATATAGTCAATAAGATAATAACATTGTTTGGTGACAGATGGTGATTACATTCATTGTGGTAAGCACTGAGTAATGTATAGAATTGTTGAATCATTATGTTGCACACCTGAAACTAATATAACACTATATGTTAATTGTACTTCAATTTTAAAAATCTAGAATCTAAAGAAGTTAAGATTTGAACTCAAGTCTTGTTATACTACAGACCTCATGTCTAACCACTATACAGGAGAGCCTATATTTTTGTCTTGTGGTAAGAGTTAAAACACTATGGAAACAGTATTTTTATTCCACATTTAGAAGTAAGTTATTTTGGGAAGTTTTTATATTTGATTTCATTTATATATAACCTAGACTTTGTTTGTAAGAAGGGAATTGGGCAGGAGAAGATGATCTATAAACTTCTTGGTCCAGCTAATTTAAGAATGAACATTAATTTGACTTTTCACATGGGAAGCCATTTCTTTGTCTCTGCCTACCTGTCAGTCACTTTCATGATGAAGATAGGAGATCTTACACAAGGCATATTTTTAAACATAAGCTATATTGGCTGAGAGACTATTTGATCTTTTTGAGTAACTCCATTTTAGGCTCACATTGCCTCTCTGCTTTTTCAATTTTCAGTGAACTTTAATGGAATAAATGCAAAGCAACAAAGGGTATTTAATGAAGGATATTAGTAAAGACATGAATTCAAGTTGACTTTTATGGTATCTTATTTCTAAGGGGGGAGATCTAAAAAATTTGTGGATCATGTATTTGATTTTTCTTCCTCTCTGTCTTCCTTTCTCTCTCTCTCTCCTATTGAAACTATATATACATATAGTTTAAATTTTGAAATTTTAGAAAATAATTTCTTTGCCATCATTTAAAAATAAATTATAAAATACATATGCTTTTACATTATAAATGGTTATATAAGCTAACTTACAAAAAAGTGAAAATATAACTACCCAATAAAAAGTGCTTTAATATTTTTTTGGATTTTCTTCAATCTTTTTAGCTTTGTATCTGAATAATACATTGGTTATGTCCATAATATATGCAACTTTGTCTTCTAAAAGGTTCTCATTTTATTATATAATTCTTATGCCATAGTTAATACATATCTTCATAATAATCTATTGAGTAGATGAATTATAATTTTTTCTAAACTTTTTATCTTCTGTTGAACATTTAGGTTAACATTTTATGTGTGTGTGTGAAAAATGCTGTCATTGATCCTGTGAAAACATCTTTGGACTACTTGCTGAGTAGTGAATTACTTGGGTAAAAATTTTGTACATTTTTAGGGTTAACAACACATACTACTATAATATTTCTGCAAAGGTAATGTATAGTTTAGAATGCCAGCAGTAATATTAAGGAGTACCATTTTTACAAAATTATTATCAGTATTATATGTATATAAGATGTTTTTCAAAGTGTGCTTAATTTTCTAAAATTAAAAATTAGTACCTCATCATATTCCTTTTGTGCTTCCCATTTAGAGTGAAGAAGGAGGCCCACAGGAAGGAATTCTGGAAGATATGCCTGTTGATCCTGACAATGAGGCATATGAAATGCCTTCTGAGGTAAAATTTTGTATCCTACAACTCTGAAAATAAACTTCAGGAATTCTAGTTGGGTCTTTCTATTAAGCAGTACCAAAAATCTATCACCATCAGATTTTCCTTCCATTAGTCCTTAGTGAAAATGATTTATTCTCTTGAGGGACAAATCGGCCAAATCCAAAATATATATTGTGCAGACAACTTGAAAGCTAAAAGTGGTTTTTACATTTGTAAAGAGTTGTTTAAACAGAGATACTATGTGGTTCACACAACCGAATACATGTACTTGCTTACCCTTTACAGAAAGCGTTTGCTGATCCCTGAATTAGAAAATTATTCTATTAAAAACCTTACTTTCTAAAATAAATCTCAAAATGGAAGGTTGGGGAAATCAACTGAATGCCTAAAGAAAATTATTATTTGCTACACATTTCCAGCAAACTATTTTCAGAGTAAAATAAAGTTCCCACAAAACTTAGAGAGTAGAAATATGATAAATGCATGGTTTGCAGCAACTGATGTACTTCAATCTAGAATTTTGATGGTTAATTTGAATTTGAAAATAAGTTTAATAGGAAATGTATCATAAGGAAAATTTTTAAAAAATTTTAGAAGAATGAAGCTGACTCAAGAAGAAATAGAAAATCTGAAAAGATCTATAACAAAGTAAAAAGACAGGATTATTGTTTAAAAAAATATACCCACAAAGAAAATCCCAGGACCAGACAGATTCACTGATGAATTCTACCAAACATTTAAGGGATAATAACTATTAATTACAATTAATACCAATTAATTTCTCTTCTCCCCAAAAAAAGGAAAGATTACTCTCCAATTAATTGCATGAGGACCACATTACCCTAATACCAGCACAAGACATCACAAGCAAAGAAGCTATATTATTCATTGAAAATTCAGTTAAAATGTTTTGTAGTTAGATTATATATTATTCTTCATGGCATCAGTAAAAGGCATATTGATAATCTCATTTACACAAATGAAATTAAACTGTTTCTTTACTTAATTAGATTTTATCAAAATGTTTGCATCTTTTTATGCATAGCACAATACTAAATACTGTAGAAAATATAAGATTAGTTGATAGTACCAGGACATAAGGCATTTACATTCTAATAGGCATGATGAAAACAAATACAAATTTAATTCTCTGTTTATTCATGATGATTCCTTTAAATATTGTTGACTATCTTCTATGTATTAGGCATCACAGAGGCAAAAATATTCAAGATACATAAAAAAGTATAATAATTTACAGGATCTAGTTAGAGTGATCGGGAGTTTTATAGAAGAGTTGGTGTTGATCTGTGTGGGAGGGGAGGGGAGATGTGGTAGGCCAAAATGAAAGGAAGACATTCTAGCACTAGGTAATATCAGAAGCAAGGCACACATGTCTGAACATGCATAAGGATATATCTGAGGAACAGTGAGTAAATAGGATTTGAGGTTAGGGAACAGAGAGAATAGTGACAGATTAAGGTTGCAGAGAGGGTCAAAGGCAAGTTGTAGAATACTAGAACTTTCCCATTTAAGTTTGTACTATATTCAGAAAGCAACTTGAATTAAGGAAGGTACATTTGTTCATTTCAAAGCAGGATCCTAAAAAATAAATAAATAAATAAATAAATAAATAAATAAATAAATAAATAAAGCAGGATTCTAATTAAGAGCTGTTCTTTAGGAGGACTAATCTGAGCACTTTAGGTAACACCATTAATATCTTTATTGTGGATGTTATCCATGTGTTGTACGGGGAGGGGGGTTTAGAATGGAAGTAATAATTGAAGCCATGGATGAAGAGATTTTCATTGAGAGAATGAAGAGCAAAAGGAGAGAAAACATCACTTGCCTTCAATATCTTTCTCCTTTTAAGAATTAGGGCATCTTAGCCCTGGAAGAGGCTTTTTAGGCTACTTAATTTGACTCTCACAAAGTACAGTTGAGGAAACTGGGAGCAAGATAGAGCAACTAACTTGTCCTACAGTACTAGAATATGTGATTGTTAAATGGCATGTGAAAGTAAAATTCAGATATCCGAACTCTGAGCAGGATAATTCACTTTTATATTTGACAGGAAGACAAAACACAGAATTGTATGTAACTGAATAGTTACAAAACTATTATGACTATAACCTTCATTCAAGGTGGTGAGCCATGTCCTATCTCATTCACCCTAAATCCTTCATTACTGATGACTAAAACTAATAATAGTTTTCTTTCTGATTTTCTTTATATTAGGAAGGGTATCAAGACTATGAACCCGAAGCCTAAGAAATACTTTTGCTCCCAGTTTCTTGAGACCTACTGACAGATGTTCCATCCTGTACAAGTACTCAGTTCCAAAATGCCCAGTCATAATTTTCTCAAAATTTTTACAGTGTATTTTAAACTCTTCCATCAGCAGTGATTGAAGTTATCTGTACCAGCCCCTACTCAGCATTTCAGTGCTTCCCTCTCACTGAAGTGATTATATGGTAGCAGGGTCCTCCCTTGTGTGCTATGTGGATATTGTGGCTTCAAATCTAAAATGTTAAATTAAAGCACCTAAGTGACTACCACTTATTTCTAAATCTTCACTATTTTTTTGTTGCTGTTATTGAGAAGTTGTGATTTACTATCATATATTATAAGATTTCTAGGTGTCTTTTAATGATTATTTCTGTTTAAAAAATAATGATGTGTTGTGAAATTTGTTAATATATACAATACTTAGAAACATGTTAGCATGAAACTATGCACCTATAAATATTAACTATGAAATTTTACTGTTTTGTGATGTGTTTTATTAACTTGTGTTTATATATAAGTGCTGAAAATTAAAATGTTATCTCATTACAAAAATCTTATTTTTAATTCCATCTCACTTTAATAATAAAATAATGCTTATAACAATATGAACTGAGAACTGACACATTTAACTTAAAGCTCTTGACAGCCATTTGAAGGAGAAGGAATTTTAGAAGAATTAAGCAGACAAGATGGAACATTAATCCTTTACTCTGGAAATTCACTGAAGCAACACTACCCAAAGTATCCTGACATGCAGTGATGTCTTAAGAGGTTATATGGAAAGAAAATGGGTTCCATGGAATAGTGAGTTTAAGAAATGATTTTGACGATGTCTGCTTCAAATATTAATAAAACATATTAGCACATGAAGGCTTTGAGAGATTCTAACGTTGTTTAACCCAGCATTTTATTTTTATTATTTTTTAAATCAACCCCACCCCCCATCCACCACCTTGGGAAATGCCTTTAAACATTTCTAGGAACTACCAAACCATTACCTTAAGAAATTTCAATTTAAATGGATAAATTCTTAGAAATTTTGAAAAAAAAAATTACTAGCAATGAAATCAAATAAGTAGTCAAAAAACTCCATCAAACAAGAGTCCAGGACCAGATAACTTGACAGGGGAATTCTACCTAATATTTAAAGAAAAGCTAATAACTGTTCTTCTCAAACTATTCCAAAAAATAGAAGAGGAAGGAAAGCTTTTCAGTTCATTCTGTGAATCCAGCATTATCCTGATACCAAATCCAAACAAACACACTGCAAAAAAAGAAAAATATGGGCCAATATCTCTGATGAACATAGATGTAAAATCCTCAACACAATATTAGAAAACAGAATTTGACAGTACAATACAAAAATCATTCACCACAATAAACTGGGATTTATTCCAGGGATGCAAGGGTAGTTGAGTATTTGCAAATCAATCAGTGTGATACATTAATAAGAGATAGGATAATAGGATAACCATATGATCATCTCAATAGATTGAGAAAAAGCTTTTGATAAAATAACGCTAAAAACCCTCTGCAAAGTAGGTCTAGAGGGAACATATTTCAACATAATAACGGCTATATATGGAAAATCTCTCAGCTAACATCATGCTCAATGGTGAAAAATTGAGAGCTTTTCCCCTAAGATCAAGAACAAGACAAGAATGCCCACTCACCACTTCTATTCAGCATGGTACTGGAAGTTCTAGCTGCAGCAATCAGACAAGAAAAATAAAAGGCATACAAATTGATAAGGAAGAAGTAAAACTTTCACTATTTGCAGATGACATGATAGTACATATAGAAAACCCTAAAGACTCCAGCAAAAAATGACTAGAACTGATAAATGAATTCAGTAAAGTTGCAGGATACAAAATTATGTAGAGAAATCCGTTGCATTTCTATACACTAATAACAAAGTAGCAGAAAGAGAAATTAAAAACAATCTCATTTATAAATGTACCAAAAAACAAAATGGACATAAATTTAACTGAAGAGATGAAAGACTGTACTCTGAAAACTTTGTCACTGAGGAAAAAAATTAAATACTACACAAATAAATGGAAAGATATATTGTGCTCATAACTTGAAAGAATTAATTTTATTAAAATATCTGTACTACCCAAGACCCTCTATAGATTCAATACAATTCCCTTCAAAACGCTAGTGGCATTTTTCACAGAACTAAAACAAAGGATCCTAAAGTGTTCACAGATCACTATGACTCCAAATAACCAAAGCAATCTTGAAAAATAAGAACAAAACTGAAAGAATAATGCTCCCTGATTTCAAACTATATTACAAAACTATAGTAATAACAACAGTATCATAAGGCACAAAAACAGACAAATAGAATAGACTGCCCAGAAATAAACCCATGATTATATAGTCAATTAACCTATGAGAGAAGAGGCAAGAATATACAATGAGGAAAAAATTGTCTCTTTAACAAATAGTGTTGAGAACTGGACCACTATCTTATACAAAAAAAAAATTCAAAATGTACTAAAGACTGAAATGTAAGACCTCAAACCATAAAACTTCTAGAAGTAAACATAGGCAGTAATTTCTTTAACACTAGTCTTAGCAATATATTTTTAGACCACTTTCCTCAGGCAAGTACAACAAAAGCAAAAATAAACTATTGAGAGTTTTCCACCATGAAGGAAACTATAAACAAAATGAAAGGCAACCTAGTGAATGGGAGAAGATATTTGCAAATGATATATTTGATAAGGGGCTAATATCCAAAATATATAAATAACTTATGCAAAGCAAAAACAAAAACAAAAAAATAGTGCAATCAAAAAATAGGCAGAGGACTTGAACAGACATTTTCCAAAGAAGACAGATGGCCAACAGACACATGAAAAGATGCTCAACATCACTAATAATCAGGGAGATACAAATCAAAACCACAATGAGATATTAACTGAAACCTGTCAGAATGGCTAGAATCAAAAAGACAAGAAATAAAAGTGTTGGTAAGGATGTGAAGAAAAAGGAGCGCTTGTGCACTGTTGATGGGGATGATAATTAGTTCAGCCAGTCTGGAAAACAGTGTGAAGTTTCCTCAAAAAACTAAAAATGGACATACCATATGATTTACCTACTACTGTGTATTTACCCAAAGGAAAAAAAAGCCCACCAAGTCAAAAAGATGTATGCACCTCTATGTTTATTCCAGTATTATTTACAATAGCCAAGGTATGGAAGCATTCCAAGAGTCCTCTGATAGATGAACTGATAAAGAAAATGTGGTATAATAGAGTATTACTCAGTTATAAAAAAGGATGAGATTTTGACATTTGTGTCAACATGGATGGACCCAGAGGGTATTATGCTAAGTGAAACAGGTAAGAGAGACAAATACCAACTGGTTTTACTTATATGCAGAATCTAAAAACAAGTAAATCAAGAAACAACAACAAAAATACGTACTCTTAAATAGAGTGAACAAGACAGTATCTGCCAGAGGGGAGTTAGGTAGGGGAATGAGTGAAATAGATAAAAGAGATTATGAGGTACAAATCTGGGGCTATAAAATAAATAAGTCATGGAGATGAAAAGTACAACATGGGGAATACAATTAATGGAAAAAATGTTGATTCTCTAGATTTACAAAAATCTCACGAATTCTTTTAAATTCTGCTGACTATGAATCTCAGGATACTTTTTTAGGAATAGTTTTTCTATTTTTAAAGATTCACTAAGTCTCCATGGTTTCTGACAGTAAATTTGACTATGAAAGCCCTCTATAAATTAATTGAAAAATTGTTTGGTTTATCTTTTTAATTTTTCAGGAGAAAAATAGCAGTTACTTTTAAAAATCACCAGTAGAAAGTGTAATTTTGAGAAGATTCAGAGGTGCTAGGCAGTTTGTATGTAATTATGAGTAATTTGATGTATATCGGGCATTGGCAAGGAAAGAAAAAGGAATGACTGCAATGACTATAAGCATGGTCACCATAGAAACTTCCTTTTTTTGTCTAGCTGGAAAGGGACCATTGTGAGTGTTAAACTGTCTGTGTAGTCTTAAACTGGAAAGAAGTGTTAAGTTTCTTGTTTTATTTAGGTATATTAATGAGTATTCCTAATCAGGAAAACAACTTGGAAAAATAAAATATCTTTGTTCAAAAGTATTCTCATACTAATACACACGAGGGTGGTTATCTTGTGACAAACACTGAAATAAAAAGTTGGATAAGGCACACAAGCCTTTTCAGGAAGGCTTCTCTCATATCCACTGCTGAGGCATCCACCTGACAGGTTAATAAGGGTTAGTCTGTCTCTAGGTTTACTTTGAAGATATCATTCCCTTAAGTTTGAGTTATTCAGCCTCATATGACTCCATGGGGTCTTTAACAAAACAAGTCAGGGTGGGCTTTGGCACCCAAATGGCAACTAAACAATCTAATATGTGGTTTGGCCTTAGAAGTTGGATTTTCAAGATCTCTCCCCTAATGTGAGATGCAAGATATGTTTATTCATCTTTCTGGCTCATGCAGTAGGCCACATGCACACACACACACACACACACACACACACACACACACACACCCCTCAAGGACAACCATTAATTCTCAAAGATAGTGCTTTCTACATCTATACTGAGGAAGAAAAACACATTTTTCCAATTGCAAACTCAACAGACTCCTCTTCCATTGTACTGACAGTACTCTGTTTTTATCTGGGATGAGTCATCTCACGTTATTCTGTTTTAGGCAGGAATGCATCAGGGATGGCATTTATTTCCCTGTGAGCTTTGTCCCGGCATTGGAAGATAAAATATATTTTTTATTACTGTGTCAAATATAGATATGTGATTTATCAATACTAGCTCATTTAATTCTCCAAACAACTCTAAGAAGTTCCATTATTATTCTCATTTTGTACTTAAGCAAACTAATGTTCCTGTGGACTAGGTAACTTTCTCATACTCATATGGTTAGTAAGTGGCAGAGCCAGGAGTCCAATTAATATAAGGCCAGAGTCTATGTTTTTCTCTAGCCTCCATTGTCTCTCAGAGTGAGGACATACAGCTATGTAAGAGAACCCTGCAGAAGTTTAGGGAATGGAGTAGCTTTTCTACCTGCATTTATTAGAATATTTCTATTTTTCTTCAGATATCTATGTCTAGAATAAGTGATACTCATATAAATGGAGACATATTTCTAATTCTAGGAGAAATTAGCCAAACCCAATTCCCCTGACTGACATTACCTTATAATTAAACTATGAAATAGACAATAGAACTAAGTTATTTATTTTTAGTGGGAAATAAAAATGTTAATATAATAAAAGCAGTCTACGGTAAACCAAACTTTGTCATTTTTTTCTGTTGAATCATGGGTACTTGCCTTCTGTCAAATGGCATATATATGTACATATATACTTACACACATACAAAGTATATATATATATAAATATATATCATTTAACTAGGATTTTCAATTATATATGCTTAGTAATATAATGCCTGAATTTACAAATGAATAAACCGGAAAGGGCAAGAATTAAGAATCTGCATTTTTAAATAATGTTAACACAATATTTTAAAATAAACTCTTATTTTCTAGGTGTATTTTTTGATACAGTAATGTTGCATTTTATTATTCAAATAGGCATAAATTTAAAGAGACCAAAAGCAATAGAATAGATGTAATACAAACTATTTCAAAATACGATATTGGTTCTGATGTTTCTTGTATAATTATCTAAGATTTCCTTTAATTTTCTTTGTTGCTAGAACACTATCTTTGATTATTTTAATAACATAGATGGTATATTGGAAATCGTTTTTAAAAAATGTTTCTTCAAGAAGTTTGAGCCTTTAATGAGTTTTGCTGATA